ATTTGTTCACAGTTAACAGTGAACAGATTCTAGTGATTCATTTTGCGACCTTTTTGCTACTGTTGAGTGCTGATAAATAAAAGTATTCTTGGACCAGATTCTTTTCAGTGTTTTTACGAGTTGTTTGCTCAGCACCAAAACCGTAATTTACAGTTCAGATAGCACTTTGAAAAAACATTTTGGTCGGATTCTGTTCGGATATACACTTCTAGTGAAGAACGAAATTAATATGAAGAATTTTGTGGAATTATATTTGGAGGAATATTTGGTGGCAGTAATGTCGTAAAATGGTTGGGGAAATTAACGTTTTTGGGGTATAATAAGCAGGAGGTTTGGTTATCAGGAAACTGATTACAAAGGAAACTCGGCATTCTGGATCAGAAAGCAGAATAATTGTATTCCTATTGGATTTCGACGTGGAACACGTGATGTAGTACGCACTTCCTATAAATGATTTTTGGGACAATATGTGAACTTATATTTTAATTTGTGTTCTGTTTTCTTTTTTTTTTCTTGTTGGGTACTGGTGGAGCTGTCATTGTCCTGATATTCCCTCACAGAGTCGTAGTTTATACCTTTCTGACGGTAGAGAAGTTTAATTGAAAGCTTTTGGCTTGTTTATTTTTCTGCCTTACTGTGTGTATGGAGCTTAACTGGTTTGAATTTTTAACCTGTGGCAACACCTTTCCCCGTATTAGCTGGTTGAGAAGTGGTGGAAAAGTGATGGAGCAGCATGATCAGAAGTTGAGATCGTTTATGATGTACGTAGTGTGTAATAATTGTAAACACTCAGCAAAAAAGTAGGATAATTGTGTTGGAAATTAAGGGTTTTGGGATTTCAATTTGTCGCTGCTGCTTTCGTTCATCAGCTTCATTATAGCTGGTTGTGGTTGTTTTCTAAAAGTTTTTTTATTATCAATGAATTGTACATGATTGTGTTAGAAGAAACATCTGTTATGGCTGCTGTTTATGACAGACTTTTCTAGGTATGGAAAAATGTTAGTATTAAAATCGCGAACTCTTGGTCTGACCAGACAGTTGCAAACATCTGCAACTAAAAAAACATGGCTTGACGCTCAATTTCGGCCGGGCCGTATAATCCCGGAACTTGACGGGAAGAAACCAACTTACATTATAGTTGGAGCCGGTTCAGCAGGATGTGTTTTGGTATCTTTATTAGTTCCAACATGAAAGTGGGTCATATATAGTCCAAATTCATCAAGAGGAATTGTTGATACAGATTGATATAATTTTGGACAGACAATAGAATATCATTCCCACCTAGCTTCCTTTAGGCGAACCGTTTGACAGAAAATCCGGACAATCGGGTCCTATTACTTGAAGCTGGTCCACAGGACCATTGGTGGAATTGGAAGTTTCATATGCCTGCAGCTTTAATGTATAATTTATGTAACGATAGATATAACTGGTATGTAAATATTTTTTAAGTTTTTAGCAGGGGAGGGTCAACGTCTTCTTATTTCCTCTCAAGATTAAAAATGAATTGAGGCTCTTCAAGGATCACTCGTTTTTAATAATTCCTACTTTTTCGAGGTTTTATTATACCACAGCACAGAGTCATATGAATGATCGAGTGATTTATTGGCCGAGAGGAAGAGTATGGGGCGGATCATCCACGTTGAACGCCATGGTTTATATCCGTGGTCATCCGTATGACTTTGATAGATGGGAAAAGGAGGGAGCAATCAACTGGTCGTATAGGTGAGCTGTAGCACTGCGTTGAAGACGAGAAACTTCAGTGGAGAATTTGAGATCTTTGTTGAGAGAGATGGAAAGTGATTTAGGCATGTTCTTCCATACTTTAAGAAAGCTCAAAATCACGAGCTTTCTACAGGTCCTAATGATATGTACCGAGGTTACGATGGACCGCTCAAGGTAATGCAAGGAAAGTGTGAGAATCCATTACATGAAGCTTTCCTTTTAGCTGGTGAACAGGTATTTATCTATTTTTAGTTATACGGAAACTTTTACTTCTTTTTTTTATTGGCAGACATTCCAGAATAAAGGGATTACTGTCAGAGTCAAAGTTTTATGTTAGACATGCTTTTTGTTCTTATTTTTTCAAATGCATTTGGTATTTGGTTTGCTGAATTTTTAAACGAGTTTACGGCTTGGTCTATTGCTGTTTTTAGTGTGGACTCGGTAAAACTGATGACTGCAATGGTTACAGGCAAGAAGGTGTAGGCTCATTTGATTTAACCATATCGGAAGGGAGAAGATGGAGTACTTCTCGTGCTTATTTATGGCCAGTAAGTTTTCAGCAACTCTATTTACTGATCATTAAACGGTATTTCACCAATTCCAGGTTATATGCTTAACTTATTTGCAGTCAATCCTTTGTAGCATCATCATTTCTTTCTCTTTTACAGGCCTTAAAACGTCCAAATTTACATGTTTCCAGCCGCATTTCTTGTACGCGTGTCTTGTTTGATGGTAATAAAGCCATTGGAGTAGAATTTGCTCGTCAAGTCAGTTTGAATAGTGATTGCTACGGATCTTGTAAAATATTTTTTGCTTTAATTACAAAACTTTAGAAAAAATTTTACATGGCCGACAAAATCGATTCTTACTCTGCAGAAAAAGTTTATTGTGAAAATTCGGTTATTCTTGCTGCAGGTGCTATAAACACACCTCAGCTATTAATGCTCAGTGGTGTAGGACCTGGCGCTCATCTACGGGTTAGTATTTTATCTGACATCCTTTTTAAAAAACGTTCAAAGTATTCATGAAATGTTTTTAGTTTAAGACTTTCTTTGGTTAAGTAGGCTTTTTAGGCTCTGGGTATACCATTAGTACAAGACACACCTGGAGTTGGAAAGAATTTACAAGATCACTTGGAAGTTTATGTTCAGCAGGTGATTATTTCTGAAAGGTTTAACTTTTAAAACACTCTAAAAGCCTTTCGAGTTAGCAGTTAAAATTAGTTAGCATTACTTTAAAATATATGCAGCTTTGCAGAAATGTAAGAAACCAATTACACTGTATAACAAATCTTCGTGGCGCTTTCCACACAATATGGTTAAAATAGGTATGGAGTGGTTTTTGAAGCATCAAGGCCTTGGGGCATCTAGTCACCTTGAATCTGGTGGATTTGTTCGTAGTTCTTCTAAAGTATAATTTCTGTTCAGCTTAGAATAGATTTCTAAAACTGGTTTTTAGCTTACGGTTAAAACTTTCTAATGATTGTCCCTTGTTTTCTAATTTCCCTCCTCTTATTACACAAGTATAAGGTCTTATTTGGGATGCTACAAGTTCATTATCGTGACACATTTCAGTTGACTCATCCTGACATACAAATTCATTTTTTACCTTCGGCTGTATACGATGATGGACGACTTCCTCCTAAATGCCATGCTTATCAGGTTAAAATCTTTAAAGGAGCTTTAGAAAATATCCTCTAATATATTTTTCATTGTTTTTTTCTAGCTACGTCAGCAAATTTGAATTCAAAAAGGTATTTGTAGGTGCATATTGGCCCTTTACGTTCAAAATCAAACGGTACAGTTACACTGACAAGTTCGGATCCCAGGCGTTACCCAATTATGAATCCAAAGTACCTGAGCAGAGAAGAAGACTTTGAACAGTTTCGTTTTGCTGTGAAGCTTTCACGGTAATTGACAATTTTAAGGCTCCAACTCATAAAAGGCAACTTCCTGTGACTTAATCAACATTACCATACAAAAATTAATAATCTCTTTCATGTAAAACCAGAATTCCTTCTAATTGATTAGATTATCAACTTCTTCCTTATTGTAGCGAAATATTTTCTCAGAAGGCGTTCGACGATTTTCGGGATGAAGAGTTAGCTCCAGGGAAGAATTGTAATAGCGACGAGGAGGTTTTTTAGGCTTACTTAAAGCACTGATAAACCAGTTGATTTCCAGCTTCTGTGGTCAGTTACAATTATTTAAGATTGACGAATTCGTGAAAATGAAATCCGCATCTGCGTACCATCCTTCCTGTACTTGCAAGATGGGTTCTTCAAAAGATTCTCTCGCCGTCGTTGATCCCCTCACAATGTGTGTCCATGGACTAGAGAATTTACATGTAGGATGGTTACTTTGTTTATATTAGTTTTCTGGCATTTTTGGAAGCCGTTAGTTGATTGTCCCTCGTCGAATCACTCCGATTTCGTAAATAAAGAACCTAAATTTGCAAAACAGATCGTTCATACATTCCAGGTCGTAGATGCTTCGGTGATGCCTTCCATCATCAGTGGAAATTTGAATGCGTCAGTTATAATGATTGGAGAGAGAGCTGCGGATTTGGTTCAAGGGAAAAAACCAAGAGATCCAGAAAATGTTCCTGTTTGGACTCCTCCTCGCTAACTTCATTTCAGCCGGTTACCTGTTTATAGACGTTAGGTATAATTTACGAATCCGTGCCTACACTCTCAAAAAACTTGAATTGTTCATCTTAACCAAATCAGAATGTATTTGTGGAAGAAAGTGTCACAAGGTTCCTAGCACCTCTGTACCACAGACAGCATTTATGAGACTCTTACTCTTTTTGTTTTTAATTGGTGCCTCGGTACCAGCCATTGCTGAATTTTAATTTTGTAATATAACTTGAGTTGTTATTACCTGGATATCTCGCTAATTTAATGCATCCTTCAACTTATCCGGTGAGAACCAGGAAGAGAACACCGTCCTCATCCTGAACTTTTAACCTTAACAAAGTGTGTTACTCGTGCACGTCCAGCAAAGTTCATGCCATCGAAAGTGGCATGTCTTTTATAATGCTACGAAAACTTTGTTGAAGAACAAAGTGCTGGATACTGGTATCGGCAAAAAAAAAAAAAAAAAAAAAAGTGCTCTTTTACATCTGCCCTTTTAGGTACATCTTATTTTTCTACTTTCAACCGTTTTTAAGTGAGCGAGCGACTTAAGGCACTTTATACACTATCAAGTTACATTACAAATACACAGATTTCCTCCATCAAAAAATTACACATCACGAACTCGCTTATAACAACTGCAGCAAATTAACAAAATAACTGGATTTATCTACTTGGTTCTTATTTTAAAAAAAAAACCTACCACTTCACCGGTTACAATGTCCTACGAACAAAGCGCTAGGAAATAAGATTTACAGAGAAGACAGCAGCACACACTAGCTAACTTGGTTCCTTATACCCGTTTATTCCTTTACATTATGAAAGCAAGAGCAAATGATAGACTATTACACCACCCAAGAGATGAGCAACAAATAAGGTATATACAAATCATTCAAACTTATTAGTTAAAATGCTAAAGCCTACTCCCTCACTGAAGGCCCAGCGTGGCATACCCAGCCCCATAAAAGGCAATATTTTTGGAGCATTACCACTATCAAAGTAGATATGTGCAAGAACGAGTAACAGAAGATTTGAAAAGATAAAGCCTTGAAAGTTCAGACAGTATTACCAAGTCAACAGTGGAGGAGTAGTGCAGAAAATTAGCCAAAGACTTTCGAAAGAGAAATTGGAAACCGTGAGAGATCCTAGAAGCAACCCACTTACATTATCATCCTCATTTTAGGTTATCATTATTAGCAACATGTGAGCGATCTGGCCTGAAGTTGGACGCTACACAATGAACATCGTCTTTTAGATAAGACGACTGCATAACTTCTCGACAAGTCGGTCTTTTCTCAGGATCTTGAGTAGTCAACCATAATATAAACTGCCTCTGTAGCAGTACAAAGCAAATTAGAAAAATAACCACATCTTATACTTCATAAACCTGGAATTAGCAGTATTCCTCACAAAATAGTTAAAACTTACCTCACTGAGAAAACCTTGGAGATAACGTTCTGGTAACACTTCTTTCTGCAGTGCAGTCAAAACTTCATGCCGTTCCATTACTGTTTGAAACGGGACTAGCAACTCTGTATAAATTAAGCCCAGTGAAAATACATCAACCTTTTGGTTGTACGGTCGTCCTTTAAGCTGAAGTAACAATATTAAACTTCTTACTCGATAACTGAATGACTGAGGAGTGACTAACGCTCTACAAAAAAAAGATAAAGATCTTTAAACTTTTCCATATGCATATAAAATTACCTGTTCGGGACTCATGTACAACCTCGTACCTACATTACCCGTGTGCCGTTTTGTACTTGTAGTACTCATACTTTTCATGCCATCCGAAACGCCAAAATTGGTAGCTAGTCCAAGGTCCCCAATCTTTAAATTGTCTTGACCATCAGCAGAGAAAAAAATATTCTGGGGCTGAAAAAAATGTTACAATTATTACATTAATCTCTAATTGTTTGAAAAAAAGTCCAAAAATGATCTTGATAAATATGCTATAGTTTACTTTGATGTCCCTGTGTATCAGTTCTTGCTCGTGAATATAGTCAACTGCACAAACAAGCTGAGAAAACCAAAACCGCATACGACTTAATAGTCGGTCTTCTTCCCTTTTATTTTTCAAAAGCCAATTGTGGAGACTGAGTTCTTGACAGAGCTGAAACCGCATCACTGAACAGCAAATTGCAAAAAGAAGTGGCCAGGAAAATTTTTACCTCCATCTGTATGTACAAGTATATATGATCTTTTGACTCTCTGGAGGTTTCCATAGCAGTGTCATTATCCACCAACACGAGCGGAGGTTCCAATGCTTCCGAAGATGACAACCTTCGGTGTGGATTATCATTTTTCTCGCTGCTGGTCCTATCCTCGAATACAATGCTAGAGCTATTGCTGGCGGCTGAAAAAATACGAAGAACGACAAAAAAATATATTCCCTGAAACAAAAATAATGCTGAGCAAAAAAAACTGGATAATTACAATTTCCATTGAAATGAACCATCCGAGGTTCTCCGTTTGAAAAACCTTCTGAAGCGCTAGAAGTTTCTGAACTATCTTCAACATTTTCTTCTGAGTAAACCCAAGAGTCTGAAGCGTTTCCTGAGCTGTTCGCCAGATCCTTCAACTGCCCGCCACTTACAACACCAGAAGTACATAAACCAGCTTTATTTGTATACAGCGAAATCAAACCATCCTAAACTTTTTAAATGTTGAGCCCAGAGTCAGAAACAGTTTAAAAACATGTAACATAAATTATTATTTGGACGAGAGGTTCAAAAAGAAATGAGTCACTGAAAAACAGACCTGCCTGCTTGATGAAAGGTTGAAACTGACACCTGATCCTTGCCCTTGCATACTCTGAGAGACAGCCACAGAACCTCCAGAACGCCTGAAAAAATAGCTACTTTTTTAATAGAAAAATTTAGCTAAAACTGCGGTATTTACGTACAAGAAACGAGTGAAGAGTAAATAAACTGGACTACATTTGTTGGAGGATTTCCTTGTCCTTACTTTGCTGCCACCCAACAGGAGGTTTCTCTATCCATGTGTGGAAGTACCTGATAATGTTAGGGTGGTCAAGCTTGGCCATAGCTTTTACTTCCCTCCTCACACGTTCAATTGCTGATGGTCTAAAATACCAAATACACCGATCAAAACTCCAGAACACCGTTTTAATTGCTGAAGAGAGATTAAAAAGTTACTGAGGTAATTGAAATTACAAAAAGACTTGAAATCTCTAACGAAAATGAACAAGCAGCTTACGTATTGCTCACAGTAATCCGCTTGATCGCGTAGTTATGATCGTCAAGTTTGTGTTTACAGTGGAAAACCACTCCATAACCGCCTCTTCCCAAACATTTTACTGGTATAAAATCATCAAGGAATCTGTAAAATTGATAAATTACGAAAGTGAATCAGAACACTGTCCTATGACCAAGAATCGTTCTAACGGGTACGGTACTTCGAAACGAATGGGTTCATTGACAGCAGGGCTTTTGATGGAGGAGTCAAATCGGAGTTGCTTCCCGAAAAACTATGTTTTCGTGTATCTGTGGAAAAATTTCCTTTCGCCTAAAGAAAATAACAAACAATTTCAAAGATCTCACTGACACAAAACTGTGACATGAGAGGACAAAATCTGAATAAACCTGTACCGTTTTCATACTATCGTCCGCGCAAACTGCAGCATAAAACGACTTGAAAAGGATGAAAAATAATACAGGAACAATAAAGAGAAGCCCAAAACCTCCCAACTGCCTAAATACAAAATTTAAGGCCACTACAACTTGAAACTTGAAACACCTAAACGAATATTCATAACCGAAACTTTAGAAGGAATGTAGGCATTCAGAAGAGAAAGGAATGAGGCGTACAGTAACACAACAGGCAATTGAAAAAAACTTTTTTATCATTTTTATTTCAAAAAACGCATTTGCCTTTCGTTTTCACTCTCCATAAAAAATTTTTACATTTGCTTCTAACGAAGAATTAATGAAATATACAAAATTATCTTCGACAACGGTATCAGAACTTCTTTAATAAATAACTTCATATCGCTTCTGAAACTACAAGCCAAAAGAAGACTTAAAATTAACACTTACCACCATTTCCACAAAGATTTCATTCTCTGTGTCGTATTCAGTTCTTTAACAACCTGTATGCCTGCAAAACACTGTCCTCTCGACGTTCCGCGAACATTGGACTTAACATTTGTGGCTTCCATTAACAAGTGTTGGGGATTTACTATTGGGACGTTTACGTACCAGCCGCCACGAATTTCATCATCTAAAAAACTTTCCAAAGATAACAGACAAGTAAAATAAAAAAATGCTAACATCAAAAGTTCAAATCAACAATGAATATCATGGAGAAATTGAAACATGATAAAATTTTAGGGATAAACAACCCCTCCAATCAAAACACCACCTAGAAATTATAACAGTACCATTTTTTGGTTCACTAGCTTCGAATTCTTTACTTCCAGGGATCAATATTGCTTCATTAAGTAGACAGTTTTCTGGAAATGTATTTTTTTGGCTGTCTGTTACCATTTCAATTTCTTTTAAACGCGGTTGGTACTTTCTTCTGAATGCATCAACTGAAAATAAAGTTACAAATACAAAGTCAACAGAAAAAAACTTGAAAACAAACCCGAAAAGAGCCTCCTCAAGTACACTGTATCAACACAAAGACTATTTTTCACATTAAAGTCAAAAGCGAGGACAAGTGTGAAGACGAAAAAACGGAACAGGAAGGATACCCGCAACGAGGTCATGGAGAAAGAGACGACCATGACGAAGCATTTCTGATCCGTAAGATGCAAAGTTTGACATATGCTTCTGCGCACGCATTTTCTCAGATGGTACAATGTACGGTTCAGAATTATAAAAACCTTAAAAAATTATACGTGATGCTTTCAGATGCCTCTAGAAAAATTAAGTAAACCATATGCTTTCAAAGTTACCAAGAGAATTCTGCCAAAGCAGCTTTCAAAGCCGAAAAACAATTCTTACTACTTTAAAAAAGCTCTGTATCCCGCCCAAAAAGGCTAATCTTGCTGAGAGAGTGGACAATTCTTGCCAAGCAAAAAACAATTTAGCAAAAACTTTGTAAAGAATTAAGTTAAAAGAATCTTGAAGAAACGAAAAGGGCGCAGTACAACAGAATAAAACCTTGCCCAAATAGAATGGTGTTTCAAAACGCGGCAGTTTCGTATTACCCTCACAACCATCTCCGAAACCACTTAAAGTTTCAACATTATCGGAATCGAACAATGACAACTGAAATATGCACAACAGTCCTAGCATTTTGTGAAACAGGTAAAAAATTCAAAAAAATCAAGATTTAGCGAATCTTACCATATTTTTTGCTACCATCGATTGTTACGAGCATCTTACAACGAGTTTGAAAAGGTCTTCCAAAATTAACTCTTTTCAAAAAAAAAAA